GGCCCATTTTTACAATGGCACCCACGATGCCCAGCGTCTGGGCGAGGAAATTGTCGAGGATTTGGTCAACTCAATGTCTGTGGTGCTAATGGCTTTATTCTGTACGCTGCTCGCCTCACTTATCTACATTGCCTTGATGCGCTGGATTGCCGCGCCCATACTCTGGTTCTCCATCATCGGCGTGCTGGTCGGCCTTCTGGTTGCCATCTACTACAGCTTTAAGCAGTACAGCTTCTGGAGCAATACAGCCACGGTGCCGTTGCACGATCTAAATCTGCATAAGCAATGGCAAAATCTGTTGCAGAACCCCAAGATGTGGCTTTACTTGTCCATTGCTGCCTGCATCGTCTTTGTGGTCATATTCCTGTTGGTCATTGTGCTGCGCAAGAGGATACGTATCGCCATTGCGCTGATCAAGGAGGGCAGCAAGGCTGTGAGCACCGTTATCAGCACCGTCTTCTTCCCGATTTTCTCCTGGGTGCTATTCATTTGCACAATCGGATTCGCCATTGGCGTTGGCCTCTATCTCGGCTCCATCGGCACGTTCTCCTTTCGCATGGTTCGCCGCCTAACCGATACCGGCGAGGTCACCAACGAGCAGTGCGTTTGCGAAGGACCCGCTGTTAACTACACCGTTGGCGCTGCCTGCGATCCGGAGATATTTAAACAATATTGTCACATCAATCTGAGGCGCGAGTCCTGCGCCCAAACCACTTGCAGCTTTCTGGAAATTGATAATCCAACGCTAATTCGCTGGGCCATGGGCTACAATGTATTTGGATACCTCTGGCTAACCTTCTTTATATCGGCCTTCAGCGACATGGTGCTGGCGGCCACCTTTGCCCGATGGTATTGGACTTTCAAGAAACGGGATGTACCTTACTTCACACTCACACGTGCCTTCTGCCAAACAGCTTGCTACCATTTGGGTACACTCGCCTTCGGTTCCCTGATCCTGGCCATTTGCCGCATGATACGCCTGGTGCTCGAATACATTGATGCCAAATTAAAGAAGTACGATAATGCGGTGACAAGAGCGATTCTCTGCTGTATGCGTTGCTTCTTCTGGCTGCTGGAATCGTTCCTCAGGTTCCTCAACAAGAACGCGTACATTATGTGCGCGATGCATGGCAAGAACTTCTGCACGAGTGCCAAGGATGCGTTTAATCTGCTGATGCGCAACTTTCTGCGCGTTGTCACATTGGATAAGGTCACCGACTTTCTCTTCTTTCTGTCCAAACTGCTGCTCACCGCCGGTGCCGGTGTCTCAACCTACTATTTCCTGGCCAACAATCCGTCCGTCATACAGCTCAACCACAAGGCTGTGCCCACAACTGTGGTGGTGATCGCCGCCTTTCTGATTAGCAGCGTGTTCTTCGGTGTCTACTCGATGGCTGTGGACACGCTGTTCCTGTGCTTCTTGGAGGACTGTGAGCGCAACGATGGCACACCCGAGAAGCCCTACTTCATGTCCAAGCAACTGATGAAGATTTTAGGCAAGAAGAATAAGCTGCCACAGCGACAGCGCCGCGGCAAATAAAAAAAAAAATAAAAACTGCAGTCAAGCGTAAAATGGCCGCAAAACCAAAGCAATATGGAATATCCCTTGTAAATGACAGTGCAAATTGTAGCCTAGACGAAGTTGAGGTACAGATTGATCTTTGGAATGATATATATACACACATATTTATATATTTATGATATGGCAAGGTGAGCCGCAGGTTGTGCACGATAACTGCTCATGCGATATTTGATTAGATAGATGGCAACTTTTTGGGCCGACTGCAATAACTACTTACATATAATGTAATTAACTTAATGCTACAAATTTGCCAACAAAGTATTGTTATTGACATTATCGATTGCATGCATATAATGTACATACATTTATACATATACACACATATATTCGAAATGAAATTCAAATTATATACATACTATTAGTTCGGTGTGCTTATTGCAACGGATGCTCAAAACTACTGAAGTTACAATACAACTCATATCTTAACATTATTTGAAAATTGTGAATCTAAGGCTAAGAATTGTAGTCGAGCAATTACTGAATAAATTGGAGGAAACTAATCGTAAGGAACATCATATTTTATTTCGATTAATATTTATGCACGATCTTAAAATTTTTAGTTAAATTTTGTTGAATATCACTCTTTTACAAGTTAATAAAATGTAATTATTATCCCATTTCCTTACTTTTTCTTCACTAACATCCATTTTATGAAGTTTACCTCACTGAATTTTAGTTCAGTTAATTTTACATAAATTGCCAAGCAAACATTTTAAAGTATTATACATTTTTTCAATAATTCTATGTAAGTTAACAATACAAAAAACAAAAATAAATAATTGAAAATAAAGACGTATTTATACATATGTAAACGCATAAAAAGATATATGAAAATAAAAGAATTATATACGAAAACTAGAATGATATATCCTTTAGTATGTTATCGCTAATATTCCCCAAATCATCGTTATCTCCGCTGAAATCAAGATTAAATTTGGGCGGCTGCGTATTCAATGGATTCGCAATGACTTCCTCCTCCTTGATGCTCTGCACCTGTTGCGATTCCTAAAATATAAGAGTGTGTTAACAATTATTATATTATTTTATAATATACCCACATTTATTGTCTGATCATTGAGCTGCAAGCGCGGTATGGCTTGCTGTTCGGGCAGTGGACCTGGCACAAGGGCATCTAGTCGCCCAGATGGTGAAGTGGTAAGATTTTGTACATTCAGTGAAGCGTCCAATACTTTCATGAGTGCAACGCTCTTAATGGCATAAAGTGAACCATTGCTGTTGTTGTTGCTGATATCAGCCGCTGCTGCCTGGGGCATTCGCTCAATGCGAGTTCGTTCGTTGCAATTTAGCGGTGTAAACGGCGAGGTTTCAGTGACAATAGTTGGCTTGGGAGAGGTGGGCACTGCGGATGGAGCCTCATCAAAATTAAATGAGGCCTGCATTGCTTTCCATTTGCTGCCCAGAGATGAGAGGTTAGCAGCTGTCGTGTTAACATGACTCGACTTTTTATTTATGGTGCGCAATAGCTGCATTGGATCCATAATCTTTGTGCGATTGGTGGTGTTATTTAGTTCCGAGACATGCTCTACCTTCACCTTACGCGCCGAACGTGGTACTGCAGCTGTTGGAACAATTGTGTGCAAATTAACCGTTTATCAGCTACATGTATTTGAATTATGCTGATATTACCCAATAAATTGTTGCACGTCGTCTCCAGCTGATTGGCATTAAAATCGTCCTGCAGCGGCAGTCGCACATGCGCACTGCGCACACCACTCGCCATATCCGTCCTAATCGGCGGCGTCGAAACGAACTTCATTAGCAGCGGGTGGTTAGAGGAGCCGGCATGCAGGTGTGGGTCCAAATGTCGCAACGGTGTGGTCGGCACCGCACCTATTGAACTGGATGCCTGCGAAGCATTACCATTGATGCTTTGTTCCTTATCGCGTGCATTAAAACTCTTCTGCACATCGCTCACTTGCTGATCGATCTGTTGCAGTTCGGCCTTCAATGTCTCTAGGCCTGCGGCAACAAATTCATTGGACTCGTTGCAGTGATCGTTGGCATCCAATTGTTCGGCAATTGTCTCGCTAATATTATTGAAAGCGCTCATCATAGAATTCACATTGGCTTAAATATAATCGAAGATATAAAAGTATGGATGAATTGCTTGAATACCGTATTTACTTCAATATTTACCTGTTGCATGATCAGCCTCAATGCCACATAACGTCTGGATGCTACGTAAAGCGCTGTTTGCAGCTTCTTTGTTTAACTTGTAGATCGTCTGTTTGTCTTGAAACTTATCGATGTTGTCCTTCAGCGAATTCAGTGGAGCCTCCAGCTCCGCGATTCTTGCCGCTTGCATAGTGATTACCTCCTCGCATTTCTGGCGATTGGATGCCTCGAAGGCCATCAGAAACTTATCGTCCGAAAGTAAAGCCTCGTCGACCCCAGTTGCCGCTGATATTTCGCTAAACTTTTGCCTTATTTTCTGGGTACATTCACGCAACTTAGCTGTATTCTCGTCCAGCTCTTCAATATATGCTGAAACATAGTCTTTTCGGAATTTGTTTGCCATTTCCATCCTTTCGGCACTCCAGTCTCGGAATTGTGATATGTCTATGTCAACGGCTAGAGCTTTTTCCCGTTGCTTGATCTGTTCCTGTATTACGAAGGTAACAAGATCTAACAGAAAGTTTATGAACTTCATACCACCCGGCATGACAACAAGGTAGGATTTAATGTTCGCCCAATTGAGATTATGTTTAGCATTTAAATGCTTTAGATAATCAACGGTAGTTGTCCGGAACGTTGCTTCCGCTTTCTTGTCTGTGATGGGCCAAAAGAATCTACGCTTGAACTCCGCTGGATCCAGTATACGAAACAAATAGTGCATCACTTGAAAAAAGGCGGGCTGGTTGGGTTTAAGGAACATGTCCCACGACAACAATTTCTTCATTTCATCATTCATGGGATGTATCAAGGCTAAGCCTCGTAGTTTTTGGTTTAACTTTTCACTTAGATCCTTTTCTTCGGCTTTCCACGGTGCAATCATTGTGCGATCCATTATATTAACCCTTTTTTTCTTGTTAGAAATATTTGTAATAATTTTTCTTTGTTTTCAATATGTCGACAGTTGTGCCGCTCTGCTTTTAAGATGATGCGAATTCGAACTCGAATTCAAAGTATCGATAAATACTGCAGTACTTTTGTATTTTTGGCTACAAACTTACAAAATTCCAGAATATGCTATATATCATATTAAATGCCGTTTAAAATAAAATATACGGTTTAGATTCTTCTATAAAAGGAGACAGTCTGAATTATATTATTCAGTAAATATTTTTAAATTTTGATTTGCGTTTGTTTGGTCACACCTGGTCAAGCGCATTATAATCGAAACTACCGATAGCTCGGACAGCTTTCTGCGCTCGCTATCGATAGTATCGACATAATTTTTGCAGCTCTACTGCCAAAATCTACGGAGAAAAAAATCTAAAACGTATAACAACCATTAATTGCACATTAAGAGCGCAAGTAATTAGTGGAATACATTCCACTCATTCATCATGGATGACGAGACACAACTGAAACAAGGAACAGATAAGCGCATAGGTAGTTCGCTGGATGACGGTCCACCCGGCGTGGATGGCAATGATGCTAGCGAAAAAATCGAGGCTCCAGCAGCCGCTGCGCTTGCACCTCGCAAAACGAAGTCAAATTCACGTCGACGCTCAACATCTCGACGTCGCTCCAGCTCGCGCCACGCTTCTTCACCCGTGCGTCGCAGGCGCTCTCATACTCGATCACCGACGCCGCCACCGTCACGCCGAGGACGCTACGATTCACCGGACTATGGCCGCTATCCGCCACGGCGTCGCTTCGAGCGACGACGCTCACCAGATCGTCGACGTTCGCCCCCACGACGTGGTCGACGAGACCGTTATGGTAGATCCCGATCGCGTTCGCGCAGCGGCTCACCGCCACGACGAGGTGGAGGTCGCGGGGTTAGTCCAGTGTCTCGCTGGTCACCTAAAAAGAAGCCAGCTTCGCCGCCGCTGCCAAACCAAGCAGCACTTGCCCAGCAACAGCTAGGTCATCCTGTCCAGGCTACAGCTTACGGAGTCATGCCAGCGCCAATGTACGGTCAAGCAGCGTACGGTGCACCAGATGTATATGGACACCAGTATGGCATGGCGCCACCAAATGCCTTTCCGCCGCCGGGACCACCACCAGGCTATATGCAAGGCCCGCCGCCCGCACAGGCTGCTAACTTCAACACGGGCTACGGCGCCTGGGGCGTAAATGGTAACATACCCAAGTCAAGTTATGTATATATATAATGTGATACATAATATATTTTTTTAATAGAATACGGACAACAAGTCTGGCTGCCGCAGCCTTTGGGCGCTGTACCGACAGCAACACCTGAGCCATTGGCAACGCAGCAGATTGCACCACAGCAGCAGCAGCAACAGCCGCCCGCGGCAGTCATTATGGAGGAGCAACCAACTCCGGCGCTTGAGAGCGCAGGTTTGCCACCACAGGACGGTAAGTGTGGAAATGAACTTTGACTTTGTTACTTACCACAATTCACATACAAACCTCTCACATTATATATTTTATTGTTGTCATGATTTACGCGCCCCCTAACAACAACAAAAAACCAATTTGTAATTGAATTTGATAATTGTAATTTGAAATATGCGCTTGCAAACGCACAAAAGTATTTAAGAAAATGCATTGTAAAAGACATTTAGAATCTAGCTATAATATCGCAGCGAGAGCTTAAACTGACACGGACTTTGGCTCTGACGACACTTGAAATATTCAATTCGATTTACGTAAGCAAAGCGCAACAATGTCTCGTTTTCTGTCGTGTTTTGTCTAAGACCCAACTTTCTCGTTTGGGGGGAGCGGCGGCACGGTCACACAGTGAGCACGACACGGCACGTCAGGGCACAAAACGAACGGTCAGCCCGTCAGAGCGTCAGCCCCAACATGCACAGCCAATACCAGATGGACAGCAGTACAAGCCGTCATTCCCGATATGCTACAAACCGATTCGATAACGTTCCGGCGAACGCATCCGTTGGTCTCATTTGCCAACAGTGTGTAACTAGCCGTGAAATGCACTCGAGACTGCATTTTGTAAATGAAATTTGAACTTTAAATCATCTAGCGAGAATGCGCATTAATTAATTTCTTTCTCTCACACCCACATGCAAATTAATCATCAAACATAACAGCTGTGGCACAGGAGGCGGAAAATCAAAAGGAAGAACTGAAAAAGCAACGCACCAACTACGTGAAGAAGGTTTCGCTGCTCAAGAAGGAAATGAAAGTGTTGAAGGACCAGCGGAACGATCTGACAGCTGGCGATGCACCACCATCGCCAACAACAAAGAATTTCATTGAGGAGAACGATCGTCTTCAGGCAAGTCACTCAATCAAATATCAATGATATAGCAAGCCATGAAATTTACTTTCACATTTTATTTATTATTTGCAGGTTCAAATCAAAAAGAAACTGGACACAATTGAGAACGTTATAGACATGTTGAATGGCATCATTGGCGACGAGGAGGCCGACGAAGATTCGGAAGTCACGCCCAAAAAGGAGTCGGAGCCCGCAATCGGTAAATTAGGTCAAGCACCAGCCGATGCTTCCACCACGACAAGCGATAGCTCTGATAGCTCAGATTCCAGTTCATCCTCAAGCAGCTCGTCTGAGTCGTCTTCAGAAGAGGAGGAGAAAAGCGACGAAGAGAATGGCACGGGTGACGGCAGTCCCACAAATCGTCTGAAGAATCGCGCCATGAAAACAATGAAGGCAAAACAACGACAGGCGGCACCGCAATCCAAATCTTCTGCACCGCAAACGCAAAACTATAATTATGTATTCTTTGATCCCGAGCAGCATTGGTGTGAAAGTTGCAATGTGTTCCCAAAAACGGCGCGCGACTATCTAAAGCATCTGCATGCCGAGGAGCACATGAACAGAGAGACCATGGAGACGCCCTGGCACGTGGGCATCGATCATGATCCGTATCCCACTTACGATAAGGCGCCCATCAAGCGTGTACCTGTGCGTGGTCTGCAATTTCTCGTTCCCGCTAGTGCTTGGTATTGCAAGTTGTGCAGCGTTTGGATTGGCGATTTGCACTGCGCCTCGGTGCATTTGAAATCTCTTACGCACTCCAACAGATATGATGTAAGTGAATGTGAATATGGAAAAATACCTCAGCTATAATCTGAATTTTCCTATTGTGCTTTTCCATTGCAGTTGTTCTTGAAGAAGCAGCCGAACTACGAGAGCGAGTTTTTAAGTAAGCGCGAACGGGCCCAGCAGCAGCAGCAGCAAAAGGAAAGCGAGGAGGCCAAGCACAAGAAGGCCAAGAAGGAGGATGAGAAGAGCTCCTCAAAGAAGCGTAAGAAGAAGAGGTTTGTATTGGATCAAGTAGATCATTATTTTTGAAATTTATAGCCTTCCTTCTCTTATATAAAGCAGCGAAAAGAAGAAAAAGAAGCGGAAGCACGGCAAGAAGCATAAGCGAAGTGCGAATGCAGGAAACAGCTCATCCGGATCGTCGGATAGCTCTTCATCGGATGAAGCTGATGAGGTGCAGCCACCAAAGAAGGCACAGGCCACAGCAGAGGTTGCTCCATCAACCAATGCTTCATCAATACGTGTGGCAATGCGTAAACAGGATGCGACTGTGCCGGCTAAGGTGGAGACGGTGCCCGAGGTGGTGCCACCGCCACCGCCCTTCATAAAGGATGCATTCAAAGATGCAACAGAACGTGGCAAATGGACGACCGCGAACAATGAACCGAAAGAGAAAGAAGAAGACCAGAAGAAGCGCGACGATGCGATGATGCAACAATGGAACACAGTGCAGCCAGTCATAAGCGAGAGCGAGAAGAAGCTGCTCGAGCAACTCAAGGGCAAACTGAAAAGCAAATCTCGCCCGGCCGATGAGAATCGAAGTTCGAATGCTGCTAGCGATGAGAAGTCACGACGGACCGCTTCGAAGCGACGCAGTCCATCCCCACGAAGTGGAAGCCGTGGGCGCACAGATCGTGATCGACGTGATCGTGAACGTGATCGCGAACGCGATCGTGGTCGTGATCGGGATCGGGAACGCGATCGTGAGCGGGATCGTGAGCGAGAGCGAGACCGTGATCGCGACCGACGGCGTTCTCGCAGCAGGTCGCGCAGTCGTGGCCGTAGGCGCATCTCCCGTTCTCCAGTGCGCGGTGGTCGACGCAGTCGCTCACGTGATGCTCGCTGGCGTCGCAACAGTCGTAGCCGCAGCCGCAGTCGTAGCCACTCGGAGGAGCGCGTCGAGCGGCCAGTCGTCAAGCATCCAGAGTTTCGCCCGCGTCAATTGCCCGAACGCAAGCAAAACGAAACTAAACGTGATAAAAAGGAGCCAGCGGCTAAGCCAAAAGTCACCAAGAGCAGTACGAGCGCCACAGTCGCCGCTACGGGCAAGAAGTTGCCGTTCATTGGTAAAATGCCCGTGCTGAAGAAGCAGCCAGCTGCTTCGACAACTGCTACAAATTACAACGATCCGAGCGGCTACACCAATGGCAACATTGAGAATATACCGGTGGGGCCACCTCCGCCGCCGCCTCCGACAGTGATGGGCATGGCGAACGCAGTGCGTCAGAATGCGCCGACAGCGGCACAGATTCAGATGGCAATGATGGAGGATGCCTATGGTAATGCGCCACCTTTTCATCCCGATGCCGGCATGATGATGGACTATGATGAGCTAATGCCGGATCCAGTGCAGTTTGCCAATTTGATGACACACTGCCCGCCACCGCCGCCGCCTGGCAACAGTGCCAGTGCGGCTGGTACCGACTCCCTGGATGCAGATCAACTGGCTAACGATGAGAACGGTGAGGACGATGTGCTGCCACCGGGCATTGATGAGGCTGAGACAGATCTGGTACCGCAGCCGCTGGTTGCGACGACGCAAACTCGCGACGGCGAGCTGCCCAAAGACTTGGCCGAAGCTCTCGATATTATATTCCCTGCAGATAGATCAGCTGACGACGAACCCCATCAGAGCAACCATACACCAGCTGTCCCGCAAACCATAACCACCATCGTGGAGGATGAACCTGTTCTAGACGAGCACAACTTGCAGGATTTGGCTAAGCAGGGCATACATCTGGTCTCCATCGAGGAGACCACATCCAGCTCAATGCCAGGCTCAGCACTTGACGACGCACTCCAGTCGAATGATTCAGCCATGCAAATCAGCGCCGATGAGTCCTCCCAGGGTGTCTACCAAAAAGCAAACGGCAATGCGGAGAGTACAATTAGTCTCAAAGAGATGGCGGCGCAAGATATACCCATGCCTGGCTCACTGCCAGCTGAGCCCGCAGCCGAAGCCAATGCCAAGGCCGAGGAACTGTTCAATGTGAGCGACATACCCCAGCCGCCCGACTCGCCGACAGACAGTGAAAAAATGCGCCGCCAGTCGGAGCTGGACGAATTGGCAATGCTGGGCATCGACAGCAGTGACATGGCAGCTCAATGTATGTAGACTGCGCCTACACAGAAATCAAATCAAATCAAATCACACACACACCTGCACCTGCACCTGCACGCCTGCTCCCCTTGCCCACTCACATACAGACACCAACTCATGCATTTCATCCATCACTTGCCATTACTTGGCTTTTAATCTGCATTTGTGTATTTCTCTAGATGCGTTGTAAGCTCTGACTTGACCACTTGGCCAAGAAACTGGCTGCAGATGACGCCATCAGCAGCCGCTCCATATCTGGCTTAATCGCAACGCAACGGGGCAACAAGGGACAGCGCCCAGATCTAATTCATTTTATTAGTTTTACTTTATTCCTATGTATGCCTGTGTTTATCTGACGAAATGTTCTCAATAAATGCACATATATGTATGTAATATATGTATGATTAAACTAGAACTCACGACTTTATATCTGTATAAATA